TCAACAGTGCAGGTAACTTCCTCCTTGTTGCGTAACTCCCACGAGTGCGAAACCGCTTGGACACGCGGAAACTTGGCCAGAACGACATCGAGCCAAAATCCACAAAACTTTCGCCACTGCGACGTTGTTTTCTATTAAACAACATCGTTTCAGTACCGCGGCGGTGTTGATATCTCCCATGATGTCGTTTTCGACTAAACGACACCGTCTAAACCAATCCTTAAAATATTAATTAATTAAACCGGGCATCATTGTTGACACGCCGTCAAACCCTCACTTCGCGGCGCCGTTTTAATTAAACAGCATCGTTTTCTAGTTCTGCGATGTTGTTGAACTTCGCGATGTCGTTTTAACACTGTCGTTTTAACTATTGCGGCATCGTTTGGCCTACTCGCGGTGTCGTTTCTTTCCTCTTGCGGCATCGTTTTCAACTAAACGACACCGTGCAAAATAATCATTAACAATATTAGTTAATTAATCCGGTCATCACTAGTCAAACTCGTGTGTTGACCAACGACATCATTAGCGCCAAAACGACTCCGTTTGCTTTTCCTCGCGACATTGTTTATTTTAAACATTGTCGTTTGCTAGCACAGAGGTACCGTTGGCCTTACTCGCGGTACCGTTTTGGATTAAACGACACCGCTGATATAACCAAAAAATATTAATCCCTGGAACCGCCGCAGTCGGCGCTCGCATTGGGCCGGGTGAATTTTGGTCACTTGCCCATCGGTACCGCTTACCAGGCTCTCGCGGCACCGTTTTTAAATCCGCAGTGCCGTTTTAACTCTGCGCGGTACCGCTTGTCTCCATGCGGTACCGATTTTCCCTTTCCAACAAGGAATAAAAATATTAATTAATTATAAACAAAACTCCTTCCCCAACACCTACACTAGAACGCGCGGCCCCTCTCCAGTTCCGCGGTACCGTTTTAACTCTCCGCGATGCCGCTTATCTCCATGCGGTACCGATTTTCCCCTTCCAACAAGGAATAAAAATATTAATTAATTATAAACAAAACTCCTTCTCCAACACCAACTAAACGCGCGGTGCCGTTTCTAGTATCGCGGTACCGCTGAGCCTCCTTGCGGTACCGTTTTAACTCACCGCGGTGCCCCTCGACTCCACACGACACCGTTTTTTACCAGCGGTATCGAATTAAATGCCGAGACTAATTAATGCGGCATTTAACTCGGGCCAAATTAATTTTAGGTGTCAACAATATCACTATAATACCAACATCATACCAATATCATATTAGATCACTATCATATCAACATCATACCACAATCAGTAATAATATCGTGATATGATAGTGGCATTGATCTAAAAAGTTTTTGTTCAAAATATTATCATTCCTTCCATCTCAATCTTGATCGTGATAGTATTTGGTCCATGACTAATGGATTGGGAATGGAATGAAGGAAGAATTGGTCCATGACTAATGGATTGGGAATGGAGTGCGGGCTGCATTGGAGATTCTTGGACAGCCACCATAAAGCTCACACGTGTTTACCTCTACACACGGCTGTAGGCAATAAAAGAAAAGTTTATGAACAGTAACCCGAGTTTAAAAGCTAATCCGTTTTTTTCGTATGCAACCGTTAAAAATCTTGTGGCTTAATTATTCTAATAATAATAATAATTTGTCGAGTGTGACTTATGAGGATTGGCTACGTTGATAGGACAATCCTTGCAAATCCTTGACAAACTAGGATTCACTTTCTTTCGCAATCACTACCATGGTGCCGTGCCATGCCACTCTTTGATCCTGAACCTCTCCTACATCTGCCAAGGTCAAGGATCAAATGTTCTCTATGCCTGGAGTTCAATTTCGAGCTTGTTCTCTCAATCTGGAAAAAGGTCAGTTTTGACTTTTGAATCGACAATCAGGTAGATTGAAGCGCTGGGGATGGGCGGTTTGGGACTTTGGAGTTGCCCTTTCTAATTCAAATTTCGAGGCACGTAAAGAGAGGAACAACGGCAACAAAGTCCTCTTCCGGTTTTTTCTTCTTTCGAAATGAGAGCTCCGAGAGCTAGTTAAAAATGTAACGCTATTACACTAAACGTTTCAGAGGAATCATTCCAACGCTCTTGCCAGTTCTATTTCTCGATAGTTCAGCCCTCTCTAGTTAAAATCCCTCACCTTCTACAACTATAACAACCCAAAAAACAAATAGCACTGAAAAATGTCTCAACTAGCATGGACTTGCTCTCTCTGCTTTGCTTTGCTTTGCTTTGCTTTGCTTTGCTTGCTTTCTTCTTTTCTTCCTAAAGCTCGTCCTGCAGATTCCAAAAAACGTAATCATCATCGGCAGACTGAAAAAGGTACGAAAGAAAGGAAGAAATTGCTGAAATGCTCGAGTTAGTAGTCCAGTCGAGTTAGAAACATACATGTAGTTCTTCATCCTTGACATCGTCATCACTCTCGGCTGCCTCGGCTTTGAGGTCGGAGTCATCTTCTGTGTCGTCATCTTCAGCATCATCATCCTCAGCCTGTGATTTACATCCAACAACAGTTAAAACACACCCAGGTGATGGTACAGAAAGAGAGAGGGAGATACGAAGTTGAGTGGATAGTATTGAGAATGCTTACATCAGAATCGGCAGGGTCATCCTTGGACGATTCCTCCTCCTCTCTCTTCTTTTCAGCTTCGTCAAATGCTGCCTTCTCAGCCTATTGTCAAACAAATCCAGCACATATCCATCAGCCAAGGAGCTCTCTATGAACACTGGAGGCTTGGGAAGGACATGCCATTCCAGAAGAAGGTTATACTTACATCTTTGTTCTTGGCCCATGTTTCTTCAGCCAACTTCTTGGCATAGTCAGGATCGTCGCAGATCAAGACATTGTCAAACAGGGTTCCAGATTTCACCTGCCACAACTCAATGCCTACATACTTCAAGTTGGGGAAAACATAGATCTCTGGATCGTCCTTGAAATCTGCCAAAAACAACACAATTGATAAATATCACAGATAAGCTATCATGGCACAGGAGTAGTGAAGGACAGTTAATAAAACTAAGCCAAACCTGGGTTGTCAATCATCGGAGCCTTCCACTTGCCCTTGTAGTTGGGGTTCTTGATTTTCTGAACAAGTGTGGAGACATCAAATCAGAACTACAGGACAGCGTGTATCAACAATCAAATAACTTCCTTGTTTTCAACAGTCAAATCACAAACCTTTGCGTTCCATGGACCCTTGTACTCAGGGTTGGGAATAGTTGGGGCAGTCCACTCACCATCTTCCTCATCATCCCAATCTTCAGGCTACGGTCAGAAAGACAATCTCTAATTAGAGAATGCTTCAATAAAAACCATGACAAAAGAATGAAATAGAAAAACTTAGGAGTTAGCAATTACCTTGGTGGCCTCGGTATCGGGAATCTCCTTAGGGATGTCATCATATCCCTATATCAACAGATCAACATCATCACTTACAGGTTTCTACTGAATTCTACATCAAAGAAAGATTAACTAGGTCGATGCTCTTATAGTTTACCTCTGGCTTCTTGTCCTCGGGATCATCAATGTACTCCTTATCATCCCAATCCTCAGGCTTCTTAGCTTCGGGATCCTTGATTGTCTTGGGAGGGAGAAGGCTCCAGTCGGAGTACAAGCTGCCAGTTTGCTTCTCCACGTTGTCGATCAGAATGCTGTAAGTAGCATCAGGGCGAATGATAAACGTGTAAACATGCGAGAGTTGGTCAGTCTCGCAGGGAACTTCCTTCTTGATCAAGTGGTTTGTTCCATTGTAAGTCAGAATAGCATGGACTTTCTTGGTACTGTAGCCACAGATATCAGGTCCAAACATAATACTGCAGCGAAATAGAAAACGCTCCCACATCAGAAATCAAGAGACAACAAAGTCTAAACCAATAGCAGAGTCAAATTCGGAGATAAATGGGTAACCTGTATGGAGTGTCACCACCGAACTTAGTCTGGTCGACGTCACCACTCATCAGCTTCATGTACCCACCTCCACAGTCAAGCTTCTGCTCGTGCTTGACAGAGAATTGAAAGACTAGGGTTTTTTCCTTGTTGCTGAATTCCGGATACTCTGCTGAAATAGCATAGAACCTGTAGTCTTCGCTTGTCTGGATACCTGCATTGGAATTTTGCAGCAAAAATAATAAGAAAGCCAGCTATCAGTATGAATCATATACCTTCCACTAGTTAAACCTCAATGCACAGACACAATTAGGAAACCTAATGGATCAGAAAAGAATTTTCACCTTTGTCATCAACGTTGCCATTCCACTTTCCTGCGGTGTAGTTCCACTCCCCAGCCATGTTCTCATCTTTCTTCCAGTCGGATTTAACCCATCTCTTTTCCCATCCATCTTAAGTTAGAAATACAAAACAAATGGAATCAGTCAAATGCTAATGCTATACAACTGACAAACAAAGCCCATAGTCAGACCATCCAACTTTTAACATTTGACCTTCCAAACTACTGGGATATCCATACTTTACAAATGAAAAATCGCAGACTCGATAGGCATCGGAAGGTACCAAAGACACCAAACAAATTTGTCCATCATCAGTTCGCAGTCTATATCAACTCAATAGCTCACAGCTCGATCCGAGGCCAAACAATCAACTAAAGCAAGCCTGCACTACGACAACTCGACAAGAGCAACAACCGCTCAGTAATCCAGTCATCCATTCGCAGATCTAAACAAAAACCGACCCGTTCCGAGTTCATCACTCGCTAGCAATCCAAATTCAAGCAGTAAAGATCAGATCCAAACAATTCTAACATTCGCCGGCAATGGCATTATCCACTCAAAACGACGATTACTAAGCCTGATCCTGAGGCGAACTACCTCTAACGGCATTCAATGAGACTATTCCATGAAATGAAACCCGAGCCAACGCTAACAAGCAGAGAATTGATCTGAACCCGCAGGAATCAAAAACATCAAGGAAATGGAGATCTCGAAAGGGAGGGACAACGATGATACCTTCGAATTTCTCTTCGAAGAAGACGGCGGCAGAGGCGAGGGCGAGAGAAGATAGGAGGAGGATCAAGCAGAGCGAATTAGGGTTCGCCATGGCCGGAGCACGAGACGGAGAGGAGGGCGCTGTTGGTGGACTGAGAGAAAAGAGAGTGCGAGAGTGGTGAAAGAGGTTTTATAGCAGGGCTTTTGTTCATTGGTTCTGACGGCGGGCGGGGACTTTCACTTCCCCCATTCGCCGTTAACGTCACACGTGGATGACGGGAATGCAGGCAACAAATGATAGTACGCCACGTCATCTAAGGGTGTCATTTGTGTCAACGTGGCGGTGGGCGATTGGGAAGCAAAATTGGAGTGCCGCTGTTTTCTTCTGAAGGTTAGGATATACTTTGGGAAGATGCCACGCTGCGGGTTTTTTCGCAGGGGCCGGCGGTGGCAGTGTTTACACGTGGCAAATTTCCACTCGGTAAGGGAGGGGTGGGTGGGGTCCAATGGAAATTGCATGGAATTAATTAGAATTTTTGTTTAACACTTGGAATTACTTTTTATTATTATAGAGAAATTAATTAGAATATGGGGTTAATATTTGACGTTTTTTCTTTCCTTTGGGGAGATAAGGATTTGGAATTAGTTCTCTCGTGGGAGATCACATGTCTAACGGGTTGGATACGGGTGGATAATACATTTCCATAATTCTATTCAAAATAGTTCGGGTTTTACTCATATTCATTTTTACATAAAGAATAGGGTATAAAGTTAAAATCATGCTCATACTCTTTCGGATTTCGGGTATCAACGGTCATCCATGGATAATAATTTCTTTTGATAACTCCAACCAACATGTTAACATTTACACGTACACTCACATTACGTAAGTGAAAAAGTACGATAATAATATACTAAAATTAATAAAATTAATCTCAAACAACACAAGTTCATCCAAATATTATATTTGTATGCTAAATATAAAATAAGTTGAGAAAAATAAAGAATCATTTCTAGACAAAATAGAAAATGCATATGTGTATAATCGGAAGGATTCGAGTTAGATAGTGAGAAAATCATGTCCACCCATTACCCGAAATATTTGAGTTTGGGTTTTATCCATACCCACTAAAAATCCTTCGGGTTCGAATTTTATCTTACCCGATTGGATCGGATTCAGGCGGATATCCACGATTCCGGATATTTTTGTCATCCCTTTCTTTGTGGAGTTTGGGTATATGTAGTAAAAAAATATCATTTCTCAAATTTATATATTATCATCTAATTTTTGTGTCCTTCAATTTCATATTTTAGTAAATCTTACAAATAGGTTTGGGATTTTATGGCAAACTTACCTTTCAAGGCCTAGATATGTTTGTGAACTTACGAATTTGAAAAACAGGTTCTAGCAACGTTATAGCGAATTTCTAATTATTGTCTATATAATGTACTTGTTTATTAGTAATACACTATAGATGTATTTGAAATTCATTTCAAGAATTTGAGCAAAATTTAAATACAATACCGACTTAGCACCCAAACAATTAGTTTTTATTTATAATTCCAAATCTATTATAAAAGAAAAGAGATGCAATTGAAGAGATTTGTGTATTGATTTATTTACTTAATTGTAATTAAACGCAAATTCTAATATCAAATGGATCCAATGAACGAAATTGTGCAATCTCGTGCTCTTTGTTTGCCTTCTCTAACCCAATTACAAATAAGGGACAATATTGAACATAGAAATAGGAGATAAAATGCAGAATTAGATATGCTTTACATTTTGTGGTGGGTGTGGCCAACCGGATAAACTCTTCCAATTTTTACAAGTTACAGGCTGCCACTTAATTTGTTTACCCTAATTGTAAATGACCCACTTGCTGATATGATATGGGCAAGCTTACTTGGATTAGAAGTTACTTTTCAGGCAAGAATAATGCAGAGACAGAAGTGTACACATGCCAAATGATTATGAATTAGTGTAGTTGGTGGGAAAATATCACTAACAAATATCTAGGGGAAAGAAAAGAGTTTGACCTTGAAACTTCCCTTACTGCAACCAAATCAAATTGATCACCTTATTGTTGACTACCCTTCAGGAAGAAGAAACAACTTCAAAGAGGCTCCAATCCAATGGTGTCCCCTATAGCTGCTAAAGCCGTTTGGAATTTTTGTCATAAACCTGCCAGGCGTTTTCAAATGCATTGAGCCGGTCTCAAGTACGTCATCAATGACATTAAAAAAACATCGGACTATTTAGAAACCTATTTATTCCAAAAACTCGAATCGTTGTCTGAGACTATGTTTCTAGCTATACTGTTATGTTTAAAGCGATTGTTAACACTAGTGGGTTTATAACTCCAATTTGACTTAATGGTAGCAGTCTTTTTTTAAACTTCTAATCTTATTTATCAGAGCTCAAAGCATTGAGATCATAAAAGAAGTAAAAGAACTCTAAACCATGTGAAACCAAGATTCATACAAATAACTGTTACAAAGCGATTTATAGTCAAAATCATCATAATCCCAATATAACATAGGCACTCTGTAGCCTGTACTTCACTGGCCGCAGATGAGTACATACAGATGATCTTGGTGGTAAAAACAAGTAGAGCTGGATCCTAAAGCTTGCAGGGATGAGATGCATATTTCAGGGAGATGAAGGTTAAGCATTGGCCAAACAGAGTCAGAATTCCTGTAAAAGCTTGACATCTTGTTGAGACAAAACAGTTGATTTCTTCAATGTTGGAAAAAAGGAAAAGGAAAAGTCCCATGTTTTCAACATATCTTGTCCATACTTCTCCCCTTCTTTCTATATGGGTAGATGGCAATAACAACAATTTTAAGACTTCATAATAAACAGGTCAGGGACAGGAATCAAGAATTCGCCATAGATATATTAATTAACCTAACTCAATGTTGAAGCCAAAAGGCTATGGCTTTCTCAACAAGCCCCAACATGAACAATCGTAATAATTCCTTCAAGATTCCAACTTTACAAGCACATATTTAGTCAATTGATAAGCATCAACCACCTACGACCCATCTGTGCATCCACATGAACTTCAGAAGACAGAAGGCCACATAGAATCCTACTATTCAAGCAACAGCGTGAATGCAAAGGCGCATGAACTTTCATGGCAAGACCAGTAACATGATGCTAAAAAGAAAAGCTCTCATCATAACAAAGCAAACTATCACCTGGGGCAAAAAGGCAGTTTTCTCAACGAGCAACAACATGAACCATTCTCCTATTCGTTCAAGATTCCAACGTACCAGCTCCCATGCCGTCAAAATTGAGCAACATATGCATCTACCACCTCCCAACCTAGTTGTCCACCAAAACTGATCCTATGATTCGGGCAACAAATGAGTCGCCCATGAAGGCAGAGGCGCATGAACCTTCATGGGAAGACCAGTCATAGGATGCTCAAAAGACAAGCTCTCTGCATGTAATTCATGGCCACTACACACTTTCCCATCCCACTCATGAACACCTTCATACTTCACATCACCCTTTATCGACAACCCGATAAACTGACAATGCAAGCGAATTTGATGAGTCCTTCCACTCCTAGGAAACGCCCTAATCAAAACCTCATCCTGCATTTCACCACCACCACTATTATTACCACATTTCACTGATTTCTCCTTAACAACTATAGTTTCCCCACATTCTTCCTCTAATGATTCTCCTAAGCTTCTTATCTTCCCATTCACAGACAACACCTCGAATGAAGTCTCCATGTCCCTAACCGAAGAGCCACCTGGCAAGATTCGCCCCGCATCTGATACTGCATAGACACGCCACGCCCCGAATTTGGACCGACCGTGACCTGATTTAACTGTAATCCTTTTCCAATCTGGAGATGGACCAACGCATGAAGCAATGTAAGTCTTCCTCACCTTGTGATCAGTAAATGCCTTGACTAGCTTAGCGGCTACCTTGTGCGACTTGGTGATGATCATCACGCCGCTCGTGTCCCGATCGAGCCGATTCGCCAGGTGGAGCTCCGGGGATCCCTTTGTATTATCGGCAACACAAACATCTAGTTTTGGAGCGCGGAATTCAAATTCATGGTAGTGTTAAGGGGAAAAATTGTTCACAATAACTAAACATGAAATAGGAAACTTCAATTGCACAGGACGAGACAGATTTACCAATGGCCGGTACGACTGGGGCGGTTTTTGAGCGGGAAAGGAGAAGAGCTGGGACGGATGTCAAGACGGCCTCGCAGTAAATTCCTTGAGGTTTATTGACGGCCATCAGCCATTGATCTTCAAACAAGACTTCAGACGCTGACAAGGAGAAAAGGCTGGATCTTGAAGAGGCGGACATGGCTCTGGCGAGCTCTATCTCCTTGGAGATGGCGGGAAGAGGTGGGGATAAGGGTTTAGGGTAGTTTTGGAGGGAAATAGAAGGGGAAAGCTCAGAAGGGTTGTTGGTGAAAGTTGACATTTTAATGGCGGGGATTATGTGAAGGGAGAAGGAGAAGAGGGGTTTCCTGGAGACGAGGAAGAAGGGTTTTGCGGGAAGAGAGATGGAGTTCATTAGTTAAGAGGTTTGATTCTTAAGAAAGGGAGACAACGATGATACCTTCGAATTTCTCTTCGAAGAAGACGGTGGCAGAGGCGAGGCGAGGGCGAGAGAAGAGAGGAGGAGGATCAAGCAGAGCGAATTAGGGTTCGCCATGGCCGGAGCACGAAAAGGAGAGGAGGGCGCTGTTGGTGGACTAAGAGAAAAGAGAGTGCGAGAGTAGTGAAAGAGTTTTATAGCAGGGCTTTTGTTCATTGGTTCTGACGGCGGCCGGGGACGCTGTCGTTTATTGCTTCCTTTCCCCATTAAAACCCTCGCGGCTTGTTCAACTCAACTCCCCTGTTAAACCCTGGAGAGGAAAACTCGTTAGTCGTTAGATCATTACTCCTTCGTCAAATTGGATCGGGGAAGAAAGGGGAAAGGTTTCAGCTTAAATTCTCCGATCATCAAGCAGCTGAAGAATCAGAACTTGAAATCCCTTGGAATTGGTGGCAGAACCTAGAAGTCGAGTTCGAGGTTCTGTTGGGAATAGAGCAGAAAAGCCTCGAATGCCTTCGATCTCCGTCGATTAGGAAACCAAGGGCCGAAAGATGTCAGCTTTGGCGCTCAGAAGATTTAGGATCTGTTCCAAGAGTCTCCTCGCAGCTTCCTTTCTCTGCCCTCTTCAACCCGAGCCACAGAACGCACTCCTCCATTCTTCAAAGCTTCACTCTTCACAATCTGTAAGGAAGAATCACCGGGTCCTGGCTTATTCCGGCTTCTCTTCAAACGGCGTCTTGAATAGAGAGCTTCAGTTCCAGAGGAGGGTTCTTCGTAGTCTTAGTACACATGCGGCAGCAGCTGCGGAGTTGTCTACTTCTGATGGCTTGACTGTTGATAGAATTGTTGCTAGTAACTGGGCCATTCTTGATGAAAGTGAGAGTGATTGGAAGAGCCATGCTGCAGCTATTGCTCAGTCCATTCAAGTCATCAAGAAGCGGTTGCAGGTAATGACTGTTCTTAGGCTCTAGGAATTCAGAATGCAATTATTGAGTCGACGGTTCAATTTAGAATTGAATTGAACTTGTTAGGGGTCCTCTGGATTATGATATTGGTGGATTGTTGCCTGAAATTCATCACCTTATGGTTATGGATTGCTGCTCATCCAAAAACAATGCATCCTCACAACCTGATCATTTCTTATTCTATACATTTCGAAACCTGCACATTCTTACTAATCTGTGTATTTAAGCGATCCGTTGTGCAAAGCATCCCTTTTTTCTGGAGTGGCTGAAATTTCAGTTCATTTCTAGGACTCTGGCTATCAATTTCTGCATGATTTCTAGTTGTCTTTATATTGTATTTGTGATACATGATTGTAATATGTGGCAGTGGAATAAGTTGATGGTTAGATTAGATCTGCTATCAACACAGCTGAATAAGCCAGATCTATGGGATGATCCTGTTCTTGCTGGAAGGTTAAGCCGCGAGCATGGCTCGTTGATGGGTAAGATGAAAGAGGTGAAAGCATTGGAGCAAGATCTGATTGAGCACATTGATATGATAAAGTTGGCTCGTGAAGAAGCGGAGGACTCCGACTTGGAATCGGTGGGAAACCTTGCTTCTTGTTGTTTAGGCATGTACACTTTTTCCTTGTGTCCTGATGAGCAAATTACTAGGTAGAACTCGTACCTGGACAATATACTGAGAACCTGATTATCTCTTGCTTAGCTTTAAATGGTAGCTTTGAACTATTGATCAGAAGGGTTGGCTGCTATTAAGATGGAACGGGTTAAATATCAATTTGGTTACAGAACTCAATTTTATATCACATTGGATACTGAATTCCAGATCAAGACAACTAAGCACCAAACTCATCCTAACATTTCATCTTACCATTGTTGTTTCCCCATCAGTTCTCGCCATTATGTTGTTGATGCTGGGAAACAGATAATGCTAATGAAGTCTTCTTAGGGTGATTTCGGTTTTTTCCTTGTTTAATGCTTAATGTGATACACATGAGCATGTTATGTGACCAAACTGTTATTTAACCCGAGACTGGAGATATCATGTGTAACTTTAGCATGATAAATGAATGGATTACTTGTTTGCTCTGCAGGAATCTTTGAAAGCCATGCTTGAGATGAGAAGAAATTCCAAAGAGAAAGAGCTTGAAGCTTTGTTGTCCGCAGAGCATGATTCTTGCTCGTGTTACATTGAGGTAGCTCTCCACTTTACTGATATGTGACTGTCTAAACTATTCTGCCGTATGATAAATGTCTGGTTTATGGAACTTTTCTTACTTAACGCTCGAGCCTTTATTTCTTGATGCATGAAAATAGGTTCAAGCTGGAGCTGGTGGTACTGAGAGCATGGACTGGGCAAAAATGGTGATGCAGATGTATAAACTATGGGCTCAACGCCGAGGGTTTAGAGTGACATTGGTCGACGAGATGCCTGGTGAGATGGCAGGAATCAAGGTTACATCATCTTTATCATCTTTCTCTGATTACAGAAGGACGCAATCTTGTAGCTCTTTTGAATTTCTGCTATTTAGTAGGGATAATAATTGGTAGTTCTGAGAAGGATATCTCTATCCTCGTTACTGTCCCAGTTCTCAAAATTGGTATTCTCCCCATCCCCGATACAGATACGGTTTTTGCATACTTGCCCATGTATGCGTCACTTTGGGGAGACTAGTGGATGATCTTCGGTTAGCTCGTACCGTTTCGATCAGAACTCACACCTTAAAATGATTTAATAAACAAATGTCAAATTATTAGACTTTCTTCACATTCCTAGTGTTTCAACACCATGAAGTTCCATGAATATTTTTTGCCGAGTTCTCTCCCGTTAACCAAGCATGTCTAAATTTGATTTGTTTTTTGCTACTTTCAGCGGGCAACCATCAGACTAGATGGTGAATATGCATTTGGCTATGCAAAAGCAGAAGTAGGAGTCCACAGGCTGGTGCGCATCTCGCCTTTCGATAGCAGTAAAAGGCGGCACACGTCGTTTGCAGCAGTTGCTGTGATCCCAATTCTTGGTGAAGGGTTCACACACGTTCAGATCAACGAATCCGACTTACGAATCGAACGGTTTCGATCTGGAGGAGCTGGTGGGCAAAGTGTTAACACGACTGACAGTGCTGTGAGGATAGTGCATATTCCAACTGGGGTAACTGCCACATGTCAGAACGAAAGGTGAAACTGCTTATCAACCTAAGCTCGAGTTATTACCTTTACATATTGTCAGGGTTATGTCACTAAGTTCTCCTTATGCTCTAAATGTTGAAATGATTCTGTCTGGGGGGATTCACTACAGATCACAGCATATGAACAAGGCATCAGCAATGTCAGTGCTTCAGTCGCGGCTGGACCAGCTCGAGATGGCGCGGCAGGCCCAGGTGAATGCTCAGCACACTCAATCATTGACGGAAATCAGCTGGGGAAATCAAATTCGCACCTACGTCCTTCATGTAAGTGATCACAGAACCATTTCTTAAACTTCCATGCATTACTGGTATGTTTGTAGAGAACTTTCACTGTTGTTTTGGTTGGCTGAATGAATTTAACAGTTTTGGCTTGCACTGCATGTCTCTCCAGCCATACCGTATGGTTAAGGATCTTCGAACCGGCCACGAGGTTTCTAATCCTGATTCAGTGCTTGAAGGACAGCTAGACGGCTTCATCTTGAGCTATCTTTCGTCTTCATTGGATAAAGATGAAGAACACCAATGAACCCTTTTGAAAGAGAAGAGCAGTGATAAGCTGGCAGAAGGGAGATTGTCCCAATGAGTTGGGAAGATTCCAAGGAAGAGAGTAATTTATTGTTGTTGGATAGGTGATATTGTACTGAAATATTGATCATGTTGTGAACTACCTCTATAAATTAATACAGTTGAGACCATAAAGTTATGGGTTAAACACACATTTGGTCACTGAGATTACAAAATCGGGACATGTTTAGTCACTAGAAAAAGTTAATATCAAATTTGGTCACCACAATTACTAAAACTGGACACATTTAGTCACTCGCCGTTAGTCTCCGTCCAACTACGTTAATGAAGTCCGTTAAGTGCTGATGTGGCAAACAAAATTGCCTAATCAGCCGGATATAACCCAACAAAAATGAAACCCAACCCGCCACGTCATTAAAACCAACCCAACCCAACCCATGACCCAACCCCATCCAACCCTTCTTCCTCTTTCCTCCCACCTCCTTCTTTCCCCAAAACCACCGTCGCCGCCGCTCTCCTCCTTCCTCCCACCTCCTCCCGCAAACCTGTTCGACCTAACCCAGCAGAGGAGACGAACATATTTGGTGAGGGATGGTGAAGGATGTCTCCCTGTAACATTTACTATTAGTAGGTAATCCCCTAAATTTAAACAGTTTCAGCTGATTGAAAATTAGGGTTACGAGGGGAGATACACAGATGAAATTGAGCGAGTCCATTCTCAGATTCGGGACGATCTCGGCCAACTCGTCTTCCGTCACGAACTCCACGAGCATCCTATGGAGGAATCCCACGACTTCAGAGGCCAAGCTGCTGCCGCCGAAGCCGCTGCTTTACTGGTTCCGCCCCGAAGGAAGCGATCTCTGGTTAGGGTTCGACCCGGTAACGGAGGACTACAAGGTGCTTGTTTGGCTCTGGGATTACAAATCCCACAAGATTTTCGTGTACAGCCTGAGGAACGATTCGTGGCGGCGCCTCTGCCGCCGGGGGCCGGAGTGGTTGAACCGCGGCGGTGGTCGAAGGGTCGGTAACACGGCGGCGGGATCCCCAACCACGAGATGCCACTGGATTTCTTCCGGCGGCGGTGGATGCTCTCGGCTTGTCTCCTTCGACGCAATCAAGGAAGCGTTCACGGAGCTGGAGCTGCCCTCGCCGCCGCGGAAAAATCAGGAGCGCCCATGGCCATATGTCAGTACCATAGATTCGTTTCTCATGGGGAAAGATGGCTCTTACCTGGTCGCAGTGTACTCTGGAATCAGACGACCCAATTCGAGCATCTGTGGATGGGTTGGGTCATGGGTTGGGTTGGGTTGGTTTTAATGACGTGGCGGGTTATAATGACGTGGCGGGTCGGGTTTTATTTTTGTTCGGTTATATCCGGCTGATTAGGCAATTCTGTTTGCCACATCAGCACTTAACGGACTTCATTAACGGAGTTGGAGGGAGACTAACGGCGAGTGACTAAATGTGTCCAATTTTAGTAATTGTGGTGACCAAATTTGATATTAACTTTTTCTAGTGACTAAACATGTCCCGATTTTGTAATCTCAATGACCAAATGTGTCTTTAACCCATAAAGTTATTAATTAATTGATAAATTAAGGGTAAATGACACATTTGGTCACTGAGATTACTAAATCATGTCATATTTAGTCACTAGAAAAATTTAATATCAATTTTGGTCACTCGAATTACTGACACAGGTCACATTTGGTCACTCTTCTGTAGCCTCTGTCCAACTCCGGTCACTCGAATTATTGAAAAATGTCACATTTAGTCACTCGTATTACTGAAACATGTCACATTTAGTCACTCTCCCAAAAGTTTCCGTCCAACAACATTAATGGAGTTGGACGGAAACTGACGGGAGAGTGACTAAATTTGACCAGTTTCGGTAATTCGAGTGACCAAAATTGATATTAATTTTTTCTAGTGACTAAACATGACACAATTTAATAATCTCAGTGACCAAATGTGTCATTTACCCGATAAATTAATAATTTATTTTATAATGTAAATGATTAACATAAATGACTTTATAATCCTAAAATAAGATTCATACGGTGTGTTAATTTTATTTAGTATAAATATAATTTTTTATATATTTTGATAAACTTAACTCTTAAAATACATTGTATTATCCTTCTATAACAAAAGCTCCGGCAATTCGATCAACGGATGGAAGAGCGAGGCTGCTAGCAGTCTTTCTTGATTCATTGTATTATCTTAATCGTCCAAATTCATGTATAATTATTTTAAGTATCCCAAAAATGTCCTATTATTATGATTATTTGTATGGGTTGTCATAATGAGGTGGATGTAAGTTAGTTGTTTGAGTATCTAAGTGAAAATGATGAATGTATCTTGACACAAAGTTCAGAAGAAATTGTGGTAGGCGTTATTGGGAGTTCTATTGAGGATAGATTGTTGGGACTTTTGATTCGAGAGTGTACGTGCGATAGCCCGAGATCGGGTGACTAGGATTGTGATAGAGTCGTGACTATGTTCACTTTCCGAAAAGAATATTTTTACCGTCTACAAAGCCTTGGGTTACAGGAAATTTTTCCCGAGTATAAAACTATCACCACTTTAGGTTCTAGGCTCAAGAACACTAAAGCATACCTATAAATTTTTGGAAGAAAGAAGAAGAATATGTTTGATGGTCTATGACATCATCCACCCCACGCATATATTTATAGGGGCCGAATTCATGCATTGTTTCATGAAAGGTTGCATTTATCCATATGAAAGGTTGTCTTTATCCATACGAAAGGTTCCTTTATCCATATGAAAGGTTATCTCTATCCATAAAGTTGTCCTTATCCATAAAATAATGCAACCGCCACTAGGCCAAAGGGATGTGTCCCTTCATGAAATTATACTATTGATTCGATCAGTCTAATCTCAAACCGGTTGGTCGGTCCAACCAAAAACTGGTTTAATTTGGTTAGTCTTGTTCAACCTAATATCCAACACAAATGAGATGATGATTCACCACTTTTGTAAGCAGTCACGCGAAAGGAAGCCTTTAGACCCCATCAATCGACTCTTCAAAGTACTTGTTGCAATTAGAGAACACAACATCAGAGATTTTGAGTGCAATGAGAAAACTTTAGAATAAACTTCTACTAGACTTGAACTTCAAGAAGAAACAAAGAAAAAGAATGAACTTCTACTAGACTTGAACTTTAAGAAGAAATAAAGAAAAAAACTACGATTGATATTTATCTAAATCATCCTGGGGTTTTTTTTTTTGACAAAAGATAATCTTGTATCGATTCCAAAAACAAAGATAGTTATATCCTGGAATTCAGCTAGGTTTGAAAATCAAATAAACGACTCGTAGTCAGGTACAAAGAAAGGGCCTTGCGAGCCACAAAATGGGCTACCCTATTGCTACGTCGACCTACAAATCGAACAGTAAACCCCGTATGGATGGCGAAGTAATGCACAATTTCCTCAAGAATAACTCCCATCCAACTGTCTCTGATATCCGCCCGAAGAATCTTATCAATGATCACCTTCGCATCTCCTTCGAACCTTATTTTCGTGAAGTCATGGTTTAGACACCATAAAATCGCTTCACGGAGTGTAAATAATTCCACGACCATGTGATCATCAATCAACATGAATTGCACCCCATGAGCAAAGAGGATGTCCCGAGTGTGGTTCATAATAACCATCTCACCTGCCGAATGAGATCCCCCTCCTAGCTGCTCCATCCCACATACAAACAACAGAATTAGACCCATCAGGATCCAAGTGCTGCAACCGAGGGACGGTAGACTTGGAAACATGGTCAACTGGCAAGCTCATCCATTCCTCATATTGTTGGTTTTGTTGTCGCATCAAGGAAGGGATCCCAAACTGCTTTCACTCAAAGGCCACCAAGTTTAGACCGCCAGATTCTCCATAGAACTACAACAACTCTCATGAACAGCGATGGTTCATGAATGATCGACATCAAGTTTTTGAGGAAAAGTGGGAAGGTATAACGAGGCAACCCTTGCCCAATATATTCCAGTCCCGAGTAGTCCCAAAGCGCCCGTGCTACCAGACAGTCGAGAAACAAATGCCCCATGGTTTCCTCATCAGCCCAGCACACCGGGCACCTGGGAAGCACATGAACCTTCTTCTCAATTAAAGCTTTCGTAGTTTGCAGGATGCGGTGAAATATTTTCCAGACAAATACTTTCAACTTGAGCGGGATATTTGCCTCCCATAAACGGATCCAATTGGCTCTATCCATCCAGCTCGCCGTGGATCGCTAATGTCCCCTCTGTTTATCCAAAAGGACTGCAAAATGAAAGGCCGATTTAACTATGGAAATCCCCTCGGACGTAGCATGCCATATCAGCTTATTCTCAACATTCTGTCTAGGAAGGAGAATAGTTTTGATAGCCTAACAAGTGAACGGGTCAAACCACTGACCAAGCTTCAGGTCCCACCACTCCCCTCCCCTGACAAATAACCTCAGCTACTCGGAGGTCGCCCCCCGCAGGCAACACCTGGGGATTATAAATCGGGGCATTGGGATTATCATCCTGGTTACACTGTAATTTTTTTGATAAATTGTATTTTTATAATTTTATAATTTATAGTTTATGAAATCGAAAATGAAGATCTACACATAATATAATAGCAGGAAGGAAAAAATTCTTCCCCCATTTCAAATTCCCTGCTCCATGAGCGTTTGTAGGAAGGGTAGAATAGGGAGTGTCAATTTTTTTCTCTTTCCTCTATGGAACGGGTCAACTTACCGTATACATGCCGATTTAAACGGGCCCAGAAATTGTTGCGGCCCACAAAAACAGAATAGGTTTCTTTAAGCTCTTTAATTTCTCGGTGTTGGTAAGATATCTATGAAAGAGAAAAAAATAATACTCCTTTTTATTGCTAAAAAGAAAAAATTCAACAATAAACTAATGCATGGATTCTAATGGGCTAACAGCTAGCCATAAAATAAAAGAGTTGAATGGACCTGACCTATACGAAGTTTGGCCATGAAGTAAAACAAATGAACATCATGGGTTTGTCATCCTAAAACAAGCTATTTTCTCTAGCATAACATATATTATGCTATTATTTTATATCTTAGTGGCTAAAATATAATGTATGTTAAAGTTATTAAATGGTTCAACCTCGACCAACCCAATTAGTCCAATTTTTATCATTTCAAATATATATTATGTAATTATTTGATATCATAATGATTAAATTATAGTG